CCGCTAGCACCTGTAAAAATTACTTGCAATATAACAATTATAAAAAGGTTCAGTGGATCACAAGACCTACTTTTATGCACAAAAAAAGCATCCACGCCTGGCAACATTTAGCAAAAAAAGACATCAAAAGTCTCCTACAAGCATCAAATGAAATCAAATTTTATTTGTACTGCATCCTTTTAGCAACGAGGCATTTCAAAGTTTCTTACATCATAAAAACAGAAAAATATAAAGTCACAGAACACAGAGAACAGTCAACAACATCACATGTTGTTGTCTTTGCTGTCAGATTATTGATTAATGTTCCAGGATTATGTTTCAAAAGCAACTCTGAACAGCTGGGTTTTTAGTCTAGATTCGCATGTGTTGGAAAATTGTTACGATCTCAATATACCAAAGTTAATTTTTTGGATACAGTTCCACTAAGCATGTGTATATTGGGAATAGTTATTCAAAATTTTAGAGCCTTTACAGAGTACACGATTGCTTATTTTCAGCATTTTATAGATAGACAATCTTGCTTATTTTCAGTTTCCCTCAAAACTCTGCTATCGCATTCAAATATCTCCTGCTTACTAACCAATATGCTTTGCTTTTTCTAACAACTGTTTCTGTCCTGGATGGCTCTCCCACAAACCTTTTCTCCACCTGTTTGCATCCTTTTTCTCACTCTCTATCTTCTACTCTGTGCAGATTAAGCCTACTCTCTCAGGTCTGTCCTTTTCTGCTTTGCGATTTCTCAAATCAAAGTTGCAATTGCTTCATAGCAAGTCCAAACTTTAAGACAACATGGTGCGACTGTGACATCACTGCCTTATTTGGAGCAAATAACTAATAAATGGAGTGAATATTTGTGAGCAAGTCAGATGTTGTTTTTTTTGAGAATGTGACAAGAGTTTAGATGGTAACAGGTTCAACACTTGAGTGTAAATAAGGAACCCTGCTTTAAACTGGAAAATTCTTACTCTAAAAGCAATTCATTTTGCAAGGAAAATGAACAGATATTGACAAGTCAAGTTGTGAATTTTGACTTGGCAAAATTTGTAGATTATAAATGATGTATCATGACTTGTTTTAGACGAAGAAAATCGGGCTTTTTGTTTAAGAAATTGCTTTATCTCGTCAGATTTTCACACTGCTCCTACCTTCATAGCTTTGAATTCAGATAGACAATGAGATTAAAAGCCATGTATTGTCGCACTCACTTTAAACCGTGGTCATTGGGGTCGAATCCATGTTTTTTGCAAACATCTTCCAATACCTGCGAAAGGCAAACATAGCAGGACTGTAACAAATCAAAGTAAGTCGGATATGAACAGAGTTATGCTGACTTAACTCGCCCGAAGGCTGAAAACTGATCTGTCACCGGCTAACAAGTGTTAGCCTAGCATGCTAGCTGGAGAACAGTTCGCTCTCCTGTTTCCAGGCACGAAACAGAGATTTAAAAAAGCTTCACGTGCCCGAGAGCACCGAGCGCTTCTTATACACGGGTCTACCTGCAACAAAGGTGTGTTTGGAGCCACTTTGACTGTCTGTCTTCTCCCGTTCGGAGTCAGAACCGTTACAGCTGAACCGCTGGCTGCCATTGTTTGCAGTGACGTCACGGTGTTTGTTTGAATCAACTTTATTGTCCTCGTTACAGACAGCGCAAAAAAAAAAAAAAAAAAAGAAAATTGAAGGACCAAATTACATTTAAAGCTGAGAAAAACTTGCTTCACAGCAAACACTGTATTCATAGCATTTTTTCTTCTTCTACCTCTTTTTTGTTTAGCTTTTGTTAGAGAAAATGAATTTGGAAAAACATTAGCCTGAGTGATTTATGACAGGACTTGCTCACAGTTTATTCTGAAGGCAAATAAATAAACTGACATATGTTGAAATACTGCAAATCGTTAATTTGGCAGCACAACAGCCCTTTAGGAACATAGACAGAATAAAATGCTTCGACAGTTTTATTGTTGTGGAAAATAGCAGAAATTGACATTGCTTATACTAATTTGAAGAAGCCAGGCGGTAATGGAGGACTGCAAGATACTCGCCAAAGTACACATATCTGTATCCTTTCACATTTTGTTGCATTGCGTCCTCAAACTTCAATTCGTTTGTGAATTTTTAGGTGATAGCAAGGCAAGAAAGTGGTGGGAAAAGAACACATTGTTTTCGATTTTGTTTTACAAAAGCCTGAACATTTTTACGTGCATTTGAATTTAGCACCCTTTACTCAGAAAGCGGTGAATAAAATCCAAGGCAACACATTTCCCTTAAATGTCACCTTTAACAGAAAGGAGCTGAGCTGTGGCATAATTCAGAAATAAAGTTCTGACTATACCAATCTCTGCATACAATTTGCATGCGTTACCTCACAAGAGCTGAATACGAAGGAACACCACACTTTATTTGTAAGTATCTTGATTTCCTTTTCACTTCTCTACTTGCGTTGCCCGATCACATAAGAATCCAATAAAGTACATTAACATTTGGGGTTTTGGAGCGAAAAACTGTGAACGGGCTCTAGAAGGACATATGCTTTTGAAAGACACCCAGTTCTTTACTACATTAAAGTTGTTTAGCAAAACATATTTATAAGAAACAATGAAATTTGCCAACACCCCCTAAACCAAATGAGACCTTCTGTATTAATGTCTAGCATAGTTCGCATTGACATCAAGACAAACGGGTATTTGACAAATGTTTGTTTAATTTATTTTTGCAAGCTGCAACCTTTCTCTTGTAGATTTATAATGTCAAAATACACTTAAAAATGCCAACACCAGTTCCAGCCGTGCCACTGATGACAGGGTGCTGAAGTGTGACACACTGTTTTAATAAATCCCAAACCCATCCATCGGCAAGGCATTAGGTCTTTGACAGCGTAAAGCTCTTTTTCTTATTTTAGCACATTTAAAAGGAATATAAAAAAAGAGATTTGAATTTATTTGCAGCAGCCTTTCGAGGAGAAGAAGATTGGTCCTGTCAGAGGCCCGACCACAACACAGCCAATGTGTTTCTCAGATGACTTCATGTAAGCACTGGGAGACGTCTGACAGATGACCTGGGCCGATACCAGAGAATCGAGGCTATTTTTTGTCAGCGAGGATCAAACCGGATCAAAGCCAGAGTCGGAGCGAAAAGACAATGGGACATGTGGCGGAGCCAGATGGAGAGGTGTGAAGGCCCAAGGACGGACTGACTGACTGACTGACTGACTGACTGACTGACTGACTGACTGACTGACTGACAACTCAGTCTATATTCAGGCACAAAGCCAGCGAGAAAGAAGAAGAAAGAGAAAGAGACCTCTGGTAGAAAACTGTCACCATCTGAGTAAACAACCAACTACTTGCTTCCTTCCTCACACGGCGGGACAGAAGCATTAAAATTCACTGGATGGAGAGCGTGTTGTGATTTGGGTCTGGGTGTTAAAAACACATGATGTCACCTTTGTTCTCATAAGCACCTTTTTAATTGTGTGAGCAGTTCAGGATTTTCACTGTTCTTTTCCTTTTCAAATCCTGGAATAGCAGATCTCAGTGACCTGGTCTTGTACCTGGTCTCAGTCTTGTACTCTTTTAGAGTAAATCTCAACTACGTCATTATTGCTCCCGTTAGTGGCTGAGATGTACTGGGCAGATTTCATTTAAATTCTAATTCAAACATGCCTCATTAATCACAGAGTGAAATGAACTTTACATGGATTTCCAGCAGCAGTCTGTGCCACAGCATTTCTGAAAAAGCCTCTGAGAAAAATTGTTGCAAGAGTCTCATCAGGATTGTTTGTCATTTTATGAAGAATCATTCTTTGCCCAATAGTCTCCAGAGGTTCCATGATATTTTCCCCTCAATGTTGCGTTAGAAGCGGCTTTTCCAAAACTGCAGCTGTCCAAAGGCGTCCCAGATTTGGCGGTCATTAGATTCTTTAACAGCTAAGAGATTAGCAGCAAATTTGATGTTTCAAGGCCATAAATAAATAAGTGAACCAGGACAAATCTCTTCATGCTGGAATTTAAAAACAAACAAACAAAAAAAAGCTTCCCCATTAACCAAAACCAAACCCTTTCCAAAAAAACAAAAAACAACAACAACAAAAACAAAAAATGCTTTTTGGTTTGTTTTAAATAATTTTTCAAAGAATAAAAGTAACATTTAAAGAGTTGCAATCATAAAATACATTAAATTTTAATAGTAAAAAAAAAACCTACAAAACAGAGACGTTCATAATTTAATAGCTGTATTTTTGGTGCTTGATTTTGTACTGCTTCGTTGGCCCTGACAGACTGAACTCATGCACTTCACATATTTATCGGTGGCAAAGGATAAACAGCGAAAGAAAAATAATGGCAACAAGTCAAGACTGGCAAACTTTATAGATGACAAGGCTTCAAATTAAAGGTTCACTTAAGAGGCAGTAATGGAGACTTTCCTGACCTTCATTTCTTCATCTCCAGATCAAAATAAATACTTGTCCTGATCAAAGATACGAGGAACAGTTTGAGATCTATTACATCTTGACATACAGAATGTTTTTTTGTTTGTTTGTTTTTTTGCCGCAGTTTTTTGGCATCGAGATTGACCTTTCCTCACCTTTCCAGAAAAGAACCAAAACATTTTATTTTTAGTTTATGCGACCAGACAGTCACGCAGGAATGAATGACTGAGGAGAGATCTGCGTGTCTCACGCGCCACCCCGCTGGCATGACCTCAACGCGTCCGGTGACCTCTTCACCTCAGCAGCTGGAGGTCGTTCCCCACAATAAACAACGTGAAAAGCGAGGCTTCCGGTTTTCGGCTAAAAATACGTGCGCACCCTCCTCTCTCTCTGTCTCTCTGTCTCTCTCTCTGTCTCTCTGTCTCTCTCTCTGTCTCTCTGTCTCTCTCTCTCACACACACACCGGATTCAATCAGCACTTCAAAGTGCCGCGTGAGCGTGTGACGACACACCATCAAAGGGACGGAGGGCGAGACTCGAACCCAGCGCGTGGGGCGTGCCGCGGCGAGCGAGCCGCTCGGGGTGAGGGGACCGACGCCCGGCGAGGAGCTTCAGCCGACCGCAGCAGAGACCGATTGGCCCGCGGGAGAGAGACGGCGAGAGAGGGAGGGGCGCGTGGGAGGGAAGGACCTCTGATAAATACCCAACTTCATCTGGAGGTCAGGAGGACTTGGATCCGGAGGGAGGTGACGACGCGCCGTTGACAGACTTTTAAAGGTTTCCCTGCGGGGATGGATTGATCCGGTGACCCGAACTGGTTCCTGTGCGTAAAATTTGAAAAGCGGGCGCCTGTTCTCTGAAAGGAACGATGGAGATCCACAGTCTGCGCTCACTCAGTCCACCCGCGAGTGAGCGGCCGTCTCCGGGAGGCCCCCGCGCGCTTTAACGGGCCTTCGCCTCTCTCCGTGTAGAATGCCGTGTTTGATTCGGACCCGGCCGACACACACGCCCCAGTAACAGCGAGAACATGAGGAGCCGCGGTGGGTTCCGCAGCTCGGCCGGACTGTCAGCGGTGCGCTCCTGCCTGCTGCTGCTCTTCATCCACATGAGCGCTCCGCTGGAGGCGCGGCGAGTGCGCGGCGGCCGCGCTCAGACCCGGCGGGTCCAGCAGCAGCCGCCGCAGCCGCAGAGTCCGGAGCAGCAGCGGGTGGAAGGACCGGAGAGCTTCCCTCTAGACTTCACAGCCGTGGAGAGCAACATGGACAACTTTATGGTGCAGGTCAAGAACCTGGCGCAGTCGCTGTACCCCTGCTCCGCGCAAAAGCTGGATCAAGACATGAAGTTGCACCTCTTGAGTAATTCGACGGTGACCTGCAACGACGGTTCGTCGTCGGGGTGAGTGCGCTGCTGGAGCTTATGTTTTAAGAGCAGAGCGCCCGGCCTGCGCGGTTGGGCTCAACCCGGATGGCCCCTCGTTCCCCCTGTCGCTCCGGATGTGACCAAATTGGATCAAAGGAACAGAGCAGAGAGAACGCGCGCGCAGAGCAGAGACCAGAGACCTTTATCCCCCATCTGACCAAGTTTTAAATTCTTCCCATTCACCCGGACCACAACCAACCCAAGGCTAGATTTAAGTAGAAGAACAGACACACACACACACACACACACACACACACACACACACACACACACACACACACACACACACACACACACACACACACACACACACCCCCACACACACATTGTGTTGAAGGACCAACACAATGTAACTTATTTTTTCTAGGTTAAATCAGACACACACCAAACATTAGGTGACTTCTAAAGGCCTCTGGATTTTATGTAGGGGGATCAGAATGTAGGAGGCTGAAAACAATCACACACCAAACATTTACAGTGTTATCTATTTGTGAATCATTTCCCAAATACACAGCATTGTGCATTGACGTGTCACAACAATCCCTCCAAAAGTATATTTCGGTTTGCTAGTAATTATAACCCATAAATATGTGACTAAATGTATTCCGTACTGTAAAAAAAAAAATGGTACAAAAATGTCCTCACGTTTGTGGATCATTTTTGTTTTCAGTGATTTGTGGTCTCTTAAATACAGTACATGTTGTGGTGATGACGATACAACCTTGGCTCCAGAGTTCACAGAAATGTTTCTCAAATGCTGCTGTTATTGTTTAAAAGCAAAAAAGACACTGTTAACACTGAGGTCGTTGGACGGCTCCAGTGTCCATGTGTCCTCGCGGGGCGCACGGTCACACACACACACACTGCCTCAGTGCACTGTGCAGGAGAGTAAGTGAAGAGAACCTGTTGTGGATCAGGTGGTTGCATATTTGTGCACAATCATTTTCCTGCCTGATCTGACGTTCCTGTTCAGGTTCTACATCAAGGAGTCCAAAGGCAGCAGGAGGTGGCTTCTCTTCCTGGAAGGTGAGGAGGATGAGCCGCAGGATGAAAGTCAGCCTGACGTCGGTCTGCGAAGCCTGTTGATGAGCTCAGGTTGCGTGTGTGTGTGTGTGTGTGTGTGTGTGTGTGTGTGCGTGTGTGCAGGTGGGTGGTACTGCTTCAACAAACAGACCTGCAGCAGCAGATATGAGACCATGAGGAATCTGATGAGCTCCACCAAGTGGCCACAGAGCAGAAGAGGTACGAGTCCGTCGCCGCATCGGTGCGTGACCCCGTGCGTGACCCCGCGCGTTGTGCTTCACACACTCACACAGCTTTTCCCGTCACCAGAGGGAAAAAAAATGCCTCCTGAGTGGCCAGGATTCATCGTGGAAGTGTTTGCGTTTCCTCTTTGCGTTTGAGTTGATCCCTAAAAGGGAAACTCTTGCTGAATTCCTACTTAATTCCCACCAGGGATTCTGTGGAAATCTTAAACGCCTGCATGTGTTCAATGGCCAAAGCGGGGAAAAGCTTTCGGCTTACGTGCCTCAATCAAAACATTTTCATTATATCCACAAAGACGCGAGAAATTATCCAGACTCGTGCCGACCGACATCCTCCCATTCATCCTTTTTCTGTCTTCACAGGAACAGGAATTCTGTCTCCAGATCCTGAGGAAAACCCTCACTGGTGGAACGCCAACATGGTGTAAGAGTTTGTCTTTGTGTTTCCTCCTTCATCCCATTTTTGAATGGGAAGAGAAAACTCGTTTCCACTTTAATCACTAAAGAGTTAAATTTACTGAAGATGTAAAAACACCAGACAACACCAGACGTCCAGCAGCTCCAATACTGAAATATCAGATTTACTTTTTTTTTTTTTTTTTTTTTACCGAAACCAATTTCAGTCACGAAACATTTCACATCAACCACCTTCATGTACTTTAATGCACCTTGTTTGAGTTTAACATAATCCAGATCCGTCTTAAAGTCGTATGCTTTCATGCCAGGGAATGAACTTGTAATCCTTTCATCTTCTGCTGGATGTAAAACGGCTTCTTCAGTCCAAGAATATGCAGCACAAGTTTAAAAGAAAAATCTTTGATGAACCTTTTATGTGTTGTAATTCTTAATAAATAGTCGTCAGAATTGGAATCAGAACTCAATAAAAACCCAAATTTGCAACTGTCCAAAAAATGTTTTTTTATTATTATTATTTTATTTAATTTTTTTTTCGCATGTTTTGTCCCCACAGCTTTGGCAAACAACATGGTGGATCATGTTGCCTTTACTTTGGTAGAGCAGGTCGTTAAGGTAGCAAAGGACACGGCTGTAATAAAGAAGCAACAGCGACAAAGGGCGGAGTGTACTTTCTAACAATTTGTCAAACGCCAACGTTCAACAACAAAACTCGCACTGATTCGCACATTCTCCAGTTTAGCGTACGACAGCCAGACTGCATTATGACTGAACGTTTGTCAGCATCAGCAAACCGATGACCTTTAAATCCAGATGTTTTGCCCTAACAAGAGTTTTATTTGCCGTTTCCTGCAGTTTTATTCCTTACTGCTCCAGCGACGTGTGGAGTGGAGCCACGCCAAAGACCGAGCACAGTAAGACCCAGTAAATTAGATCAATCACAATTTTCTGAGGTGCACTTTCCCCTGCAGCCCCCATTTGTGTGTGTGTGTTTTTTTTTGGAAGCCACAACAAGAAAGACAAAAAAAAAAAAAAAAGATCTGATTGTTTTCATCCGTTTCAGAGAGCCGGGTGTTTTGTAGATCTATGAGACGGGATACTGCTGAGGCACAAATCTGGGAAAGGATACTTGTTACTTTCTGGAAATTGGAAACATGAACACTCCAGTATTTTGGCCTTTATTGCCCAGATTGGAGCTATTTTCTCATTAAAGGGGATATGAAAGTCCTTTAAAAGGCTGCCAAAAAAGCACCAGAGTGACTTTTAGGCCATAAGATACAAAAAAAAAAAATCATCTGATCTGGTGAAAGAAGCTTGAACGTTTTGGGCACCCCTCCTGTGCAAGTCTTCGAGAAGGAAGCCGACCACCCACTGATTAATGCCATGCAGCCCTGCAGCCGGCTGCTGTGAAGCGCAGCCGCGCTGTGCAGCGGAGATGTTTGTATTTTACAGCAGCTTACAGACTGTTTTCAGGGTCAAGACGATGACGGGTGCAGATAAACAACAAGCCGAAGGGATAATCTGTTTCAGAGTCGTTGGAAGCGAGACCGGCGTCACGTCTTAACGTTTTAATAAGATTTCAACGCGAAGCAGAAAGTCCAGAATAAAATCAAGGAAGCGTCTACAAACAAACTGGAAGGCTTGGGCCCAGTTGAGGATTTAAAAGGGATCTACAAATCCAATGGGGTTTGATTTAATCATTAAAAAGAACAAGGGGGAGGAAACTCTTTTACAGGAAAGGCACGCAAAGCTTTCTGGATGAATCTTTGTGAAGAAATCAGGACGCCGAAGATGCCAAAGGTGCATTTTATCAGCATTAAATTCCCAGTGTAGGTCAGAAGTTCACACGAGCTCATCACAGTCATGAATGCCATCGTTTTTTGAGTTTTCAAAGACTTATTTTCCAAATGAACAATGACTTAGTGAACTAGTTTGAATCACCTGTTGACTGTCCGTACACACACACACCTCCGTTGGCAAGTCAACAGCTGCCAATCTTCTGACTCAAAAGTCTGGAGCACCCCTCTGAACTTTTCGGTCTCACCAAGTTAAGCATTTCCTGGAAGAAGGAAACTGAGCTGAAGGTTGCAGCTCAACTCATGGAGAACCCGCATTATTCCTTGAAAGATAGAGTACTGCAGTAAGTCCAGCCTGTGCCTGACGGTCGGTAAATGAATAGTCACGTTGCATCCTTACATTCTCAGGTGATTATGCCTTCATGGGCTCTCTGATTATCAAGGAGGTGGTGAAGGAGCTGCTGACTAAAGGTCTGGACAAAGCCAAGGTTCTGCTCCTGGCAGGCAGCAGGTCAGTTCACCAGAGGCCTGGTTTGTTATTTTTCCTCCTCGCTGCAGTTTCTCCCTCTGAGCTCTCGCTCTCTCCCTGGGTGTCAGCAGTGCGGGCGGTACGGGCGTCCTGCTGAACGTGGACGGCGTCGCCGAGCAGCTGCAGGCGGCGGGCCACGGCGGGGTGCAGGTCAGGGGGCTGGTCGACTCTGGGTGGTTCCTGGACAACAAACAGTACAAAACCACCGACTGCCTGGACACCGTCAGCTGCGCCCCCACTGAGGCCATAAAGAGAGGCGTCAGGTCAGCGACGGAGTTGTAGCAGAGAGGGAACGGCGACGCCTCAAAGCGGCGCTAACTTTGTTTGTGTTCTTTGCAGGTACTGGGGTGGACTGGTACCAGAGAGCTGCAGACAAGCTCACGTAGGAGAGGAGTGGAGCTGCTTCTTTGGATATAAGGTCTACCCGACGTTGAAAAGTGAGTCACAGCACAAACCCCGAGCTTCTCCGTAGAACACAGAGCTGGGGGTCTGACCCCCGGTCCGTACCGCGCAGGCCCGGTGTTCGTGGTCCAGTGGCTGTTTGACGAGGCCCAGCTGACCGTCGACAACATCCACCTGACCGGGCAGCCCCTTCACGAGGCCCAGTGGAGGTACATCCAGAACCTGGGTCAGGAGCTGAGGAGCACGCTGCGAGACATGCCGTAAGAGCTGCAGACACTCCGCACAGGCAGGAACTCGACAAATAAGATGGTTTCTAACAGGCTGCTGTGTTTCTGATTGGCAGAGCCATGTTTGCTCCAGCCTGTCTGTCTCATGAACTCATCACCAGGACGTGAGTAAGAAACTCACGTCGTCGTTTGCATCATTCCACCCTTTTTGAGCGATGTAACTCGTATTTTAGTAATCAATTATTAAGATAATTAATTGATTAATCGGATTTTATAAAATGGGCTACAGATTTTTCTTTTAATCACTTAAGCCTATTTTATGCAATATTTGGAGTACGTTAATAGATGCAAGTAAATACATTTTTTAAAATATAAAAATAAACATTTTATTGCCTAAATGCAGTAAAAGTGAGTTTGAACTGAGTGAAGCTAAAACTGCAACACTAGAGGGTTAAACATATTTACAAAGTTGTTTTTATCTTAAATGTAGTATGTGTAAATATTTTATACAGTTTTGGCTAAATAACAGATATTAATATGTTGCTCTTTCAGCAAATGGCTTTCTTTTTAGTATATACTCTAATTAATCAATCACTAAATTAGTTGAGTATTTCAACAATCGATTAATCACGATTAATCGATTCAGCCTTCAATGCAACTGCTATTACTGGCAGCAGCCAGGCTTTTAGCATGATGCTGCCACCACCGTGCTCGCCAGTCAGGGTTCTTTGGCATGAAAAGCTCGCCTGCTTTCCTCCAAACGTTTTTTTTCCTCCACTGCAGATGACCTGCAGCTCAACCCGACCTCTTGGGAGATGGGGTGCAATTGTTGATTTATTCTCCAAGTTCTCCTCAACGTTGAAAAGCCCTGGTTTAAATCTTTTCTTTTGTCTCGTGCAGGTACTGGGTGGACGTTCAGGTGAAAGGCACGTCCCTACCCAGAGCGCTCCACTGCTGGGACCGCAGCCTCCAGAGCGCCCTGCACCTCAACAGCAGCCACAGCCTCAAGAAGCACCGGACCCCCCCGTCCAGGGGATGCCCCCTTCATCTGATGGACGGCTGCCCCTGGCCGCACTGCAACCCGTCCTGCCCGACCGTCAGAGACCAGCTGACGGGACAGGAGATGAGCGTGGTTCAGTTCCTGAAGCACATGGGCTTCGACGTGCAGAAGATGGCCCAGCAGCAAGGAATGGACGCCAAGAGGCTACTGGGCATGCTCAGTAACGGAAGTTGAGCTGCTAGGTCGCAGCTAAACGAGCGCAGTTGTAGTTGTTGGAGGCCAGCCTTTATAAACACATGGATGAAAATAAGAGGGAAAACAAGGAACCTCTTCTTACGCTGATGTCTTGGTGACAAACTGAACAATGTACACAGTCACAAGTGCCTTGTTTATTTTGAAGACGTACAAGTCGGGTACAACCAAACCAGAAAGTTTGAGCTGTTGGAAAGCTTCATATAGGATCAGCATAGATATGCTCCAACTCAGAGGAGGCCGGTACAGCGAGTATAACACAGGAGAGTTTCAATTTAAAGTTAATTTATTTTCTTAACTCAAAGAATGAAACTCATTCCACACATTCGGTAGTCAGTGATAGATATCAAGTGTTTCCTTCTTTCCTGTTTCCTTTTGCATGAATTACTGCATCAATGCGGCACAGCACGGAGGAGGAGCTAATGGAATGAAATGCCCTAAGACTTCCTAGCAGAGGCCGCATTGACTCTTGACTTCAGCAGGGTTTCTGAAGGTTTCAGCAAATCAAGATCAAGACTTTTTAAGATCACTTTGACTTAAACTTAAGACCTGAATCACGACAGACAATAAAATAAATTGTGTGTTTGCAACAGAACTGAGCCAATGGGTAAGATGAACTTCGTCCAGCCAGCTGCTGATAAATTAGCACTGAGCCATGTTGGACGTTAAAACGTTAGCTAGCTTTAGCAGCTAGTTACCGCTAGCTGCAACCACGTTGGGTCACAGAACGCAGTGACCATGTCTGCAAGTAATTCAGCTTTGCATAATGAGAAACTCCTGAGAAAATAAGAAAACTACACAGAATAGTCCTTTCATGACAAACTTTAAGACCTCCGACTAATGTATTAGAGACCAACTTATTATTTTTCAAATAATTTGAAAAATGTTTCTAAAACTAAAAAATTTGTTTTAGAAACAAATTCAAGACATTCTGAGGATGAACAGACACTTTGCTTCACAATCCTAACAAACTGCACTTTTCTGTTTGTGAAGTCTTCTTACTTCCACAGTTTTTCCTTCCGATAAACTTTCCAATAACGTAAAATAACATGAAAAGATTTTTTTTAAAATTGATCTCATGCTTCATTCAAATTTTCTGAGAAATTGATCTGGCGTTTTCATACCTTTGAGCTACAGTCAGGAAAACAAACAGAAATGAACGCTTGAGATGCGTCACTCTGGACGATTCCTCTACAGAAGATGAGTTTCACTCTTTGAAAAGAAAAAAAAAAAAAAGCATTTATATTCTTGATTATTTGGGAGACACCAGTATATGCAATAACTTCATACCCTCATATGGAGGTAAAACAATGAGGACAGCTGTCTTCAGCAGCCTGAGGGGTTCTAACGGGAATCCACCGGACTGGAAACCATTCCCAGTTTGACGTGGACATTCCCAGTATACTGAGGTCAGGGGAACGAGGCGGGCCAGAAGCGGCACTGATTCCTCTGCTCACTAAATATGCTGCTTTTGCTCCATGTAAAAAAAATTATTCAATGGGAATCATTTACTAATAAAAACAAAAGCTAACTCTGTTCTTGTGCCTACAGTTCACTGTACTATTTATTTTTTTATTGCTCGAATCTAGGAAATTTCTATATCAAGTCTACTTTTTATTTGCATGTTTGTAATAAATATTTGTATGCTTGTGGATCAATTACTGTTTTGTTTTTTTAAGAAAAGGCATTTTCAATCTGTATTCTGCTCACCTATTTAAGCAAAAATAAATACAGATACACAGCGATGTAGTAAAATGTAATTTACTTACAAAAACAGAGTGAAAATTTCACTGAAAAATTTTTTTATTTACACCAACACACCCAGAAAACCCAAAGTTTACCAATGACACATTAATGAAATATCTGGATGATGAACAGAAAATAGTTCACAGTTAGTAGAAAAAGTGCTTCTTTAAAAGGAGATGAAATCTAAATATTTCTGCTTTAAATACAAAATGATCTGGATTTTGCTCAGTTCGCAACATCCAGATCAAAAAAGTCCTCCGACACATAAGTCTGTCGTGACTGTACGTTATTCGGGAGTAACGATGTGCAGACAAAGCATCAAGTCGATTCTATGAAATGTTTTCGTTGTTCTTTTTTTACCAGTGGTTTCGTCCTGCCAGTTTGCTCCATATAAACAGCTGCATTGATCTTCTGGCGCTGAATGAAGTTCATTGTCTCAGCTGCAAACCCAGTGGCTGAAGATTCCTCAGACAATTGAGGAAGCTCATCTTCCAGAAGCTCAGCGGCCTTAACATCCAGAGTCCTGCGACGGCGAAAAACAGAAAGCGTGAGCAAAATCAGAGGAGCAACAGGAAGTTCATTTCTGTATTCAGCAGGAGGTGCCATAATAATTGTAAAGTGGTCGATCCCAGCGCATGAGCAATCTGGAGCTGATAAACCAACCGCATCACTATTACTCACAGCTGAATGTGTAACAAGGCTGAAAACGCTGAGATCATTTTCAGTAGGCTTTTATTTTTCTCCCATCCTGCCAACTAATTAGGGACGATTCGAGGAAATTAAATGTTCGGGAATCCGCAGTCGAAATGTGCCTGACAGCAGCAACAGCAAATTAATTATTTAATGACCTGCTCTCTGACCTGTTTTCTCCGCAGTTTCCGTTTGCGCTCATGGACGTTCTGAAGCCGAGTAATTAGGAACTTTTTGTCTTCTCCCTCCTGAGCAGAGCAAGGAAAGAAAACGGGGAGCATGAGTGAGTCTGGACCGCTCACTGTCTTTCTAATGAACCGGACTGAGAACAAGCAAAGCGCTTACGTTTTCTATCTGCTCCTGCAGTAAAGTGATGATCTTCCTTTGGCCGTCCACCACCTGACTCTGGAAGTAAATTATTATCCTGGGAAGAAAAAGACAGAAAGTCCCAAACATGTAGAGTGTAATTAGACAACCTGCATAATTACAGCGCGTTAGAAATGTACGTTTAAACAGTATGTTCTGTTCGCCTGCATCGTCCTGCTACGCCGTGGTTCTTAAATGTGTCTGTGTGTGAGTGTGTGTGAGAACTCACAGAAAGACGGCTGCTGCCACAAACAGGAAAAGGGGATTTTCCACCAAAGCGGTGTGAGCTTCAGCCAGAAAGTACAATTTGGGGTTTTCTTCAACCAGCTCAGCAATCCTTTGTTTCCCCACCTGGATCATGGTTTTGCTCCCACGGAAAGGACCGCATGACTCTGAGGACGGGAGCCTGAAGACGGAACAAAAAGGCAGAAAGCGTAATGACTACATGTTTCCATTTTTCTGCATTTACACACGTATTACCGTTACCACAGAAACGACAGTCTCTTTTGAGACAAAGGTTGGTTTGACTGTCATTGTTGCTTAGAGTTTGTCACCATTTTTATGTTTTCTTTCTGTTTATTTTCTTGCATTTTTGCAGGTTGTCCAAAATATCCTTCCTTTAATCTCAGATTTTTATTGCCATCACTTTTGTGCTTGTGACACGCTGCACCATTGTTAAGGGAAATCCATGGTCCATCACCAAATCGCTCCTGAATTAATGGACAGGCGGTTCCATGTTTGATTTGGGGCAGTTTTTTTATTTTTATTTGTGGAATCTTCTTTAGGACCCAGATGTGAGACTTGCTGGATTTCCTTAACCACCCTTTCTTCAAGGCGACTGGACCTCTGCCTTATAAATAATGGCTGATTACGGTAACATTTTATTAGCACCAGCTGCTATATCGGAGAAGAAGAATTTTAGCAATTTTAAAGCAAATATTTTCCTACTCTAATTGAGGGCTAACCTTAAAAACCTTGAAGTGCTGCTCAGAGGTAAGTTTTGTGGCAACTACTTGCTGTTTATATGATTTCCACACCTGGATGTTTGAATAAAATCAGTAAGAACTGTAATGTTAGTCCCTATTCTGGGCTTCATCAGTGAGCACTGATAGATAATACGGCGTGCGTTGTCAGCGGCGATAAAGACGGCTCCATCTCGAGTCGGGTCACCGTACCTCCACATGGTGTACGTGACGCACACGGAGGCACCGAGGAAGGAGGGGAAGCACAGGAGGGTGATGAAGATGGTGGTCATCTGGCTGACTCTGTATGCCCTCCTGGGGGCCTGACAGTTCATCATCACACTGCTCTGTGGGAAGGAAAGACACAAACACAGATGATCAGAGGGGTCAGAGGTCACCTGGGAAAACTGAGAGCTGAGTGTGTGAGAAGCATGGATGCTGTGCAACACAGGGCTGCGACTAATGATTGTGTTAGTAATCTAAAAAGCTGCCATTCTGCCAATTAATCGATGACTAAATGAAGTCGATGGTTATTTCAAATAATCAATTGATGGCGATGAATCGTTTCAGCCCCAGACTCATACCAAACAAATGTGAAAGGTCAAAAGGTTTGATACCATCTTAATGTAGAAGAGCAGCAGCAGTTTGAGGATCTGCACAGCAGGCAGGAGAGGAGCGAAGAGAAGACCCAACCTGGACAGAAGCAAACGGACCACAGTCACCACCGTCCCAGCACTCTGTGTGTGTTTACATGGATGTCTGCTAGCAACACGGTCGGTACCAGGCTAACGTCTGTCCATAGATGAGGTCCAGGACATTCTTGCCGATATCAAACCCCGGTCTTCTGTTCCGCTTGAGCACTTTGTCAGAGAATAACCTGCAGAGAAGCAAAGAGAGGTGTAGCTAATGTAAAGTTAGCGAGTGCCACCGCAGCGCTGAAAACTGCCACCAAGTTAAGCTGCTTATTCAACTTTTGGCTTCAATTTATCCCAATTAAGACAACAAATGTAACAGATAACATTACTATGGCTTGTGATAATCAATATTATATTTAGGGCTTCAGATAGCTATTAGTTTTAGTTATTGATCATCTGTTCTAATAAACAAATTGCCACATTCTGCAGCTTTTTCATCTAAGCCTTTTTATACGATATTAGAAATAAACTAATAATTTAGTTCCTTTAAAAAAAAGAAAAGAAACATTAATTGCCCAGAATGCACCATTCATTTCAGGCATGCTTGATCATTTGCAGCAAAGGATTCTGGTAACAACGATGTACAATGATATTGTGATCAACAGTTAGTTAACTTTCTTAATTTTATTTTACTTTTTACGTGTTTGGCCACATGAATCTGGTTAGCTTCATGTGCTAACCAGCTCATGTCGCTCTACAATTTCAGAAACTGGCGATGCTCTCCTAACTGATAGACAAACTTTCTTAAATCACGGTTTCTTCTGGCAGGTTGGGTTCATAAAATATCAATTTGTTCGTATGACCTTCATACGAACAGCCGTTTGGATGATTTGCAGAGAGGAGAACACCTCCACCCTCCATGTGTGCTTTTTGCAACTCTAATAAAATATTCAGCAGGAGGTTTTTGGATTATAAGGGTTGCCTTAATGTGGTATGCTTTAAAAAGCAGCATTAAGAAAATTCAGCTGTTAACAATCGACCCACCTCCAAAGCAGCTCTCCAAACAGCGTATTCAGCAGAGTGAAGATGAAGTCGATGATTAGGAAGCGATAAAGCTCCTGACCAACAAAACTCTCCCAGCACTTGAATGTCTACGTAACAGAAATTACACAAGATAAGCAACGCATTCCTCTGCAAGAAGAAACAAAAGGATCGTCCTTCTTGGAAGCAATCCCTCTCCGATAAAATTACCTTGTTTTCATCGCCGCTGCCAGCCACCCGTGTCAACCAATGGAAGCAGAGGACTCCGAGCACGCTCACTTTTAATATCAGGTTTCTATAAAACACAGACAAAAGACGGATCCAAATATGCCGCACTGTTTAGCACTGAAACAGTTGTGATATGATTCGACAAGAATCCCACTGCTCTTACCGACTGAGTGAAACAAACGTGTGCAGAGATGGAGAATCGTACTTCTCCATCCAGGATATGAGCTGGAAGAGCATCGGTAACGTCGAGTTGATGAAGGAGACGAGGATAGGCAGCACCAAGAAGTTGGCTTCTTTTAATAGCCCTGGATCCCCGGAATCATTTTGTAAACTTCCCTGCTGCTTTTTGTAGAAAGGCTGATGAGATGGAGAAAGTTACTACCAGGTATTAGTCTCATTGTCATTCAGATTCATCTGTTAAAAAAAGTTTTACACAACTGTTTACGGATCTGAGTTACTAGTTTTGATTACAGGTCAAAGCTAACGTGACATATAGTGTCCACAATTTCACCTTCTGTTACATTGCAGCCGCCTACGTCAACTCAACACAAAGTTGTGGGAGGAGGGAAGGTAAATGGTACAAGCTTTAGGTGAAATGAGACCAAAATTGGACTTCTTGGCAGCAGGTGTAGTGGCAAACTGGGATTTCACACCATGATGATGGCAGCATTATGCTATGGGTTTAAATCAAAGTCCAGCTTATAATAAAAACCAATAGTCTGAGCTATTTTGGAAGGAAGAATAACCTCCTTCTAGAATCTAGATGATAAACACCAAAACAGTTCCCATTGTAACAGTAGTGAAAGATATTCTAAATTATTAATTTAGACTCTCCAGATTTTTGTTCATAAACAAACTATAAAGCCAAGCTTTGTCGACTTGACAATTATGCTGCATTTTGTTTTTGTCATATAAAACCTTAATGAAACACACGCAAAATGTGAAAGTTAACTGCTGTAAGTCAGCCTAATTAAATTGCCAAAACATTTAAATATATCCTTCATCCAACCAGTTGGGGGCAGTACCAATAAAACAGTAAATAATGATAATCATCAGTTTGCATGACTGACTTGCCTACATAACAGAAGTGGCACAGTGAAACAAAAACATCCTGTGTACACACACACACACAAAAAGCAAATCCACTCAATCTTACTTTTTTGTGCATATAATCTGAGAAGTAGTAAATCCCGGCCACGCATCCAGCGGTAGCCCCAAGGCAGCACATCCAACCCAGGCCATGAAAAATCAGTTTGATCAACCTTTCTGAGATTGTTCTCTTATGGCGCTTGTGAAGTACGTCTCCCAGCAGCTCCTACAGGGAGACGAAGTTGGGAGTGGTGAAATATCAACATCCAAAACAAAGCGAGAAAAGGAAACGGTGACGGAGGCCGAAGAAGAATGTGCCGGATCATCACACTCCCTTTAAATGACAGCGTGAAGGGAGGACGGAGAAGGAGGTGATTTTTACCAACAAAGTGAGTTTGCATGTACCTTGAGCTGGGTGCAGATGTTTTCAGACAGCAGCTTGACCGAGCTTCTCTTGATGACCATAAAGTCCCACGAGCAGAAGACCTTCATGGCCAACATGCCGTTAGACTTGTCTATCCTGAAGCTCTGACCAAACGACTTTGACATACTTTGGGGAAACAAAATGTAAGTATTCAAGTCTCTGTGTTAATTTAAAAGCTAAATTCCCAATATTTCATTCAGAAAACCTCACCTGTACACAAGGATGACACATGTGAAGAAGAAGGACAGTCCGATTGTGAAGAAATATGCAAGCGGCATGTTGTAGGACAGGGAATTTGAGTCACACTTCGGTCCTGAAGGACTGGAGGTGTTACTCTTGGAACAGCTCGGCAGTGTGTGGTTACTGTAGTATCCATAGTACAGCAGGGTGTCGGAGAAGGAGCCCTAAGTCAGAACAAATGTGATTCAGACAGAAACGTTCAAGTTTTACTTTTGCTCAGAGTGATTAAACTGAAAGCAAAACAATTTGCGAAGAAAAATCTACCTGCAAAAACATGGCCAGGCACATTTCAAAAAAGGACATAAATGGTTTTATTCATGTACATAAATGGATTTAACTCACAATGTTTCCACTGGCTCAAATAGGAGATTTCTGATCAACACAGGACATTTTACACTTTGATGAGATAACCATACCATAAGCATCAACGTATTACACTGCTTACGCTCAAATACATTAAGGAAACAAAAATCAGCTGACCTCAGTGTAAATTTTAGTTAAATTAGCTCCAGAGTCAACGCTGTCATCAACTAAATATTCACCGATTTAAAAGGAAAATGTCAGAGGAGTTTACTTTATGTGCCAAAATATTTCACAAATCCAGCTCCAGTTGTACGTTTTCAACTTATTTTAGGTTTCAAAGAAATGCAGCACCCCTGCTGAATCCTTTCAGACACGTCAGTGCTACAATCCTCAACTGATCTTGCGATATCAATTATGTGTCAGGGTGGAACCTCTGGGAAATAATCACTTTACTTAACAAGGAAGTCTGCGCTGCTGAAATGATTAATAAGTCTGTTAGTTGTAGCTGTCTGTGGAGCTTAGTGAGTCCATACAAGCTAAGTGAAGACCTAAAGCTCGCGAACTAGGCCTGTCACAATAACAGATTTTGCTGGGCGATAAATTGTCTCAAAAATTATTGCGATAATAATATTGTTTGAAGACCTTTTTTCATTGATTTAATGGAAATTATGTAATAATACATGGGATTTCCTGCCAAAGATAGATGCACTTTACTTTCAAAAGAACATTTAACACTGGGACTGATACACAAAATAAATAAAACAACCAAAAATAAAATAGATTCTCAGTCTCTATTAACAATAAATGTACTTGAATAAAAACTAAACAACATAAAGCCAAAGTGAAAATAAACACTGCATTCCACCAAAAGAGTGCAGATTATGAAGTCTGTATAGTATATATTGCCCTTCAGTAATAATCAGATTTAAATAGAGAAGAATCCGACTGCCTGATGCAATAGTTCACACTACAGGATTTTTTACTCCGAACGACAATCTTAGAACGTTACTCGTTCTAAGACTGTCCCTTGTGTGTCACAGTAGATCGTCATGGCCGCTCCGATCTAAATCAAGGATTTATCCAGACTGGGAGCTGAACGCAGCTTGTTGAATGTGACCGGTAGCCAATCAGCGCGGATTCTCCTCGTGCTTTCTGAGGGGAAACACGGAGGGAATCCCGAACAGCTGACACGACGCAACCCGAAGTCCAGCAGACATCGGAAACAACATGAATGTTTATTCAACAGTTCGTGCAAAGAAAATATAAATAACTAGGGGAGGAGTTGGAGCGAAATTTCTACCAGAAAACCCGGTAACTTTTCAGTTGTTCTTCGTTAACGTGACAGAAATAGGTTATAATGATTTTCATTCAGTCAGACTGACACTGGCCACATGCATTGCAGGTAGATTGTAGTGAGGACTTGATTAATGCCTGGTTTCAAAATTAGTGAACTGGACTTAATATTTTGTGTCCATTGTTGGACACCACACGGTTCGATCGAACCGTTATAGCTAGGGTTCTGTCGGCTAATGTGTTTTGATAATGGGCCGACAATCCGCGACATAAGATCGTGCAGCGCGCGCTGGGCATTACACTAAGGAAATACGGAAGGGAGGGTCAGTGGAGAGCCCCGAAGTTGAGACTTTTTTCATTCAGTGTCATTCAGTATCATCAACAGTAAGAAAAAAAGGCAGGAAGAAACGATATAGCCGATAACTGAAATGACTATAGCGAACTAATGAAAGGTTTGGCGAATGCTCCTTCGAACTGCTTACCCCTCCGGTGAAGAGCTCCAGTCCAGTGAAGGAAATTCTGTTTTCATGCCGCTCTGGGGGGTACACCGCCTGTGGAAACACCAAGAACGTACCCAAGACCAGGAAAAGGAACGCGTTGAAGTAGAGGAGAGTCTCGAGGAACTGGAAGTAGGAGAGGACCCCGGAGCCGAAGCGCCCGCTGACTCTCTTGAGCGGCATTTGCCACAGGTGCAGGGAGTGCAGGAAGGATAAACAGCTGTACCAGCTGCTCCTGAAGGCCTGAGAGGAGATAGAGAAACAGAGGCAAGTTGAATCAGCGTTGAGATTTAAGACAGAGTGCGCATGCTTGTGGTTTTGTGAGTCAAAGCTCCCGACTGCTTGGGCAGCAGAGCAACTGAGCTGGGCTGACAGCAGCACCGACAGAGGACACCCACTGACATCCGATGGCAAACCACGAGAAGTAATTTAAATATGAGGGAAAGATGTCACATTCTTTTCCTGTTTTCAGAGCATTTCTTCATACATTGTGTGTAGAAGGTAAATATTTTTGGAAAGGTTGTAGAATATTTTTGCATTGGCCATCATCTTGTGGGCTTTATTTTCCCTTCACCTCTTAACATTGACAACTCTTATCTTCAACAGTAAAATCTCATATTCTGATGTAGTTTACTGATAAAAACCCGAGTAGTAAGTTGTCCAGTGTTTTATACATAGCAGATTATGCAGGAATTTACAATTATTCAGCCTGTTGGTTGTCTGTGTATTGGATATCTGCCTTGATTTTCCCCTTTTGCTATTGTTATCAAATGCAGAATTAATAGTAATGCATAAAATGCCAAGAAAACTGAATCAATAAAGAGTCGCCTTTTCATGCAGATAATTTTTAATTTGAAAACGATCGTAGCGAACAAATGAGGTTGATGGAGCACAGCAACTCATTTCATGACCTGATAGCGAGAGCTATGCTTTCGCCACTGAAGATTCAAAGTGAATCTTCTGCTGTAGGAGTGAACCACACAGCAGCATCTTGCACCAACACACACTCTTATTAGGCCACATAAACCACACACTGTTCAGCAAGCAGTTTAGAGGAACATAAATTATGGATATATCAATAGTGTGCATTCTTAATATGAGCATCTTCTTTCAGAGGGATTGAGCTGTGAAAGTTTGTTGCTCGAAAAAAGGGCCTCAGGCCGGCATGCAAAACACTACATGTAATGGAACTTACCATTTCACACCCACCATCCTTCAGAATGGACAGGAAACTAGCCAGGCGCGATGGGAAAAAGTGCAACAGTACAATGACCCCAAACACAGTCAGAGCTATGATGAAACAACAGCTCAATGCATGTTCGTGTGTTAAAACAGTCCAGTCAAAGTCCAGATTTAAATCCGGATGAATGAGAATCTTTGGAAAGAGTTCGAGTCATTTTGCAAAGACGAATGGGCAAAAGTGCTAGTGTCTAGAAGGACAAAGATGACAGAAACACTCACTAGATACACTAGTTACAAACTTAACACCCTAAATTTATCAGACCGTTTCCTTTTCATAAGTGCGAATTACTTTCGGTTGGTCTACCAAGTAAAAGTTCAGAGGAATATAGTGAAGTTAGTTAAAGTAAATTGAAAAAATGTGAAGTAAAATTGGTATGAATACGTTTGCAAGATGCTATATGTAGGTCACCAGGTATACATTGAGGTTATATCTAACAAACGTAACAATTTTATTTTTAATAAGGTTACTTACTAAAATGATGTGAAATTTCAGATAACTGCAACAGGGAAGATCATCGCTGGAATGCGTTTGCTTAGTCTTTTCCAACGTCAACCTCCTGATGAGAGACAGACGTGAAAATTATACAGATTTATCAGCAAGATAACGGAGCGATAAAAGCAAAACCAACAATAATAATGTACCTCAAGTATTTTTTCTCAGACAAATTCAGAGGCATTTCTTTGAGCATCCTCATTCGGTCAGCCGCCAACAAGTCCTGCAGGTTTTTGATCAATCGCTCCTGCCTGTTTTCTGCAACACATCCAGCAGGGCCATTTTACAGGTTATGCTTTATTTCTGGCAAACGGTTTAATCAGTGGAGACATTTCTGCACCTGCTGAGTCTGTAGTGTCCATCTCCACGCCGTAGCCTCGTAAGCTGGGTCTGGAGGAGCGAGAGAAGTCTTTGATGGACGCTCGTTTCTGCGTGCGTCTCCGAAGCTCCCTGGTCCTATTGAAGTACTGAGAGATGATGGCTCCCCGGCTACGGCCTGGAGGATGAAAATCGTGCTTCAACCAAAGTCATCTCACATTTGCAACAATATTAAAAAAAATAAAAAAGAATTCTGGTCTGCCTGGAATTTCATTTGGCATTCCATTCTATGGAATGCTTATGTAAGTAGAAAGGGAAGCAACACGGTCAACCAAGAATGTCTGATTTCTCCCATGTGTTAAATTAAGCTCGTCTTGCTCCTCCGGAGGGACAGCGAGCCGTTTCCATGACCGTTGAGGGAAATCTCCCCCAGAACTCTGGGGCTATTCAAGGTCCATTTCCCACTGGTGCGTGTCAGAAAGATGTCTCCAGGGAAACTCCCAGAGCTCAAACCGCATAAAACATGAGATTATTGTTAAAACATTCATTTATCTTAGTAACTATATTCCATAAGTGAAACATTTCATAGATGAACTGCAGAGACTGACGCTAGCAAACCTTTATGACGATTTTCAGCTTACAGATCATGAAAGAAACACATTTGGGATACATGTAGAATATTAAGTCAGACCAATAATAATGATAATACATCAACGTGAGCTTCATCAAAAGTGAAAGAGCTTTTATTCTGACAAATTAGTCTCCTTGGTTTGAATATTTTAATGAGATGTTCTTGAACGTCCTGAGATGACTGAGCTCAGGTCAATTTTCTTCAATTTTTCAATCCAGATAGTAAAATTTATCATTTTTATATCAAGATGAAAATCACTTCCCAGTTATTTTTGATCAGGCCAATAGAAAGATATTTTTGATACAGAAATGTCTTCCTGCTGTGCAGCTTAGACACTCATTAGCTGTCTGAGGAGTCCTTGAATCAATATGGCACATAAGGTTGCTTTGACGTTGAATAACAATGGCCCAGAAGATCATAAATTAATAAAATATAAGTTTAATAAATCTATATTTCATAATCCAAGGTTAACTCCCTGAATTGAATTACTGAAACTGGACTATATCATCAATTACTTAGATGAGGCTGTAGAATACACAAAAATAAAAAAGCCGGAGGAACCAAACCTAATGATCACAAGATAAATTGTAACATGTGACACAATGTGATCATTTTGTTGGTTTTAGAAGCAAACCAACGTATCTATGAAACCATCTCTGAAAACATGTTGCACCAGCTGACCTTCCTCAGACTGCTTCCTCCTTAAACTCAATTGCAACACATCCACTCTTTTCTTAAATGTATATAGCTTGTGGCACCAGCGATGCCAACTTGAGTGCTTATAGTGAATTAAGCAAAGGAGTGAGAAGAAACTCATCACTGGCTGGGTTGGGCGATACACAGCACTTCTTAATGTATGCTTACAAACAACAACCGTATACAATAAAAAGTAAAAAAAAACGCACAGCCATTAAATCTTTGTCAGATTTCGCCATACTGAGGCTTTAAGACTCTTGCTACAAACATCAACACTTTGTTCCACATTTAAATGCTGCTGAGGAGACAGTTTCAGAAAGGCTATTTACAATCAGGGATGTGAGAACAGTGTCTTCTCAGGTTGTCAGAGGAACTAAAAAAAACTCCCGTTGTTCCGAACTTATTTAACCAGTACTGACCGATGGTGCGGCTCGGCATGGAAGAGAGGATCTTCAGGGTGGCTGAAGACAAGCGATCCCTGAGGAGAGCGTCCGTTTCATCACTTCCAATCCTCCGTTCCCGATTCTCAGAGGGCAACAAATACGCCACATTGTCTGCCAGAGTAGACACACGCATGCACACAATGAGCGGACTGCTACGCAACACTGGGAAAAGAAGACTTTTGATTTTGAAAGAGCAAATATATAAAATAATATTAGTCAGAATGAAGAAGTCTGTCAGGGTAATTGCACGAAAGAATGCTTTCATTACGTACAAAAAGAACTGTTTTTTTGGTGAAATATATTGAATGGATGTGTGGATGCTTTTGGGTGACAGAAAGCGGATGGGTTTAAGACTCTTGCTACAAACATCATCCGGGCAGAAAACACGGATGATATTCAGTTGTGGAGGACACATTTCTTCTGACCCACCAAAAACAAGTTTATGCAGGAATTTGTTTTTGCTTCAAGACTGTGAAACAATAAGAATCTTAGACTTGAATGAACTGAAAACCTAATGGTGCGTTCACACCAAACGCGTTGTGAACGTCAGGCGCGTCTGGTTTACATTCAAAGTCTATGTGGAGTGTCGGACGTGTCCAAACGGTTCAAATCGCGCCGTGCTTGACGCTCAAAACGCGCCGTGACGGCCCTCAACGCGCCTCCACGTTGACTTTAAATGTAAACCACATGGGCCTGAAACTCAAAACGTATATGGTGTGAACGCACCATAAAGCTGAAGGTTAAGTTAAGGCCTGTATTATTCCTCCAGGTTGGACACTGTTTTATGCTCTGATGCACAAGTTTGGCGTTTTAAGCAAAATGCCATTCCCCTAAAGCAACTTCAGTTGTTTTTTCAGCTCTCTTGTCTTCACTTTTGGTCAAGTTTAGGCATATCTGTAAATTCACAAGCAGGACTGCAATTTTAAAGCAAAAGTAATAATTGCATTCCCGGTAATTTCCTTCTCATTTTGCATGAATAAACTATAATGGAGTACCTCGGCCCTCATCTTCTGGATTCTTCTGCTGATGCTGTAGTCCCCCCTTCTGACTCTCTTCTGCAATCAGCTGGTTGAACGAATCATGAACCACTTCCTCGTCTACTGGGCTTCTACCAGAGGAACACATGGATTAAAAGTGAAATACAGTGAGTTAAGCACAGGCTAGATGTTTCAGAACACACTGCTTGGTCCTTTAAAAACAGGAAGAAAGTGAAAATACTGCAGATAAAATACAACAAATCAGAAACCCCCTGGGTGGAAAACGCAATAATTACAGTATTGTTTATGTCGTCCTCCTCCTTGATGTACTGTAAACAGGGCCATCTGTAGTTCCATTTGTTAATAAAAGTCTATTTCCATTGATGTCTATTGTTTTTTTTTCTCTATACAGAGACCACAAGAAGGAAACGCATTCAAACATAACGTTGTGAAAACTGCATTTCTTCCAGACCCGGAAAATGAACTAGATTTTAAAAACAGATCACCAGGACAGAGTTCAATGTGTCCCTGCTTTACTTTTCTTTCTCCCAGGTGTTTTTGTTGAGACACGCTCCATCAGCAGACAGCGTGAATGAACAAGACCCAACATGAGAAAAGGAAAAAAGACACTCAATGGCAAAATGAATAAAAAGAACAATAATTAGGCTTACTCCAGTCCAGCTTCCACGCTGGGGTGACTCAGGTCAAAGTTAACATTGTGAGCCATTCTTCTTCTCTCTCCCCCGGGATCTCAAGAGTGGTCACGCCTCACTTGATCGGACCCGCACTCCACTCCCAGCATGGCGTTCAGTTTTTTTCTAACCTGTAGGAAGAGGAAAAATGTTAAGAGGAGGATGTGTGCTTGAAGTGCGCTAGAGCGAGGGGGGGGAACAAAATGCCAACAGTCTTCTTTTCACTCCAGCGCGTCGGTCGTGTCTCAGCTTGTCCTCAACTGGTTTTACCAACACAAAAACAAAACAGAAAAGACCGACTTCACGTCAACCACCTTTGGTGTCTCCACATCTTTGTGGAACAGAAGTAACAAAAGTAAATATGTGAACACTTAAAGGAAGTAGATATTGGTTTAAAACTGTAAATATCTTATTTTTTTTGCCCCTGCTGCTCGTCATCAGTCCTCTGTGATAAGAATGACGTTAATAATGACTCATGGGTCTGTCTTGTCATGATTGACTACGTCACTTTGTCCAGACTGATAATAGATCTATTGTGGCTGACAACAGCAGTCACCACCACAGAAGTGAATATTTATGAGAGACCGGCCAACTGGAAAGAGTTTCTTTTGTGGGACATTTGGACAGAATAAGTCGCTCTGCTATAAATCTGGCTTTGCTTAGGTGTTACTGCTCCATTAAAGGTTTCATCAAACATCCAGACAGAATATGCCCTGTTGCTCAAATCCAACGCAGATGTGAACTTAAGCATTAGTGAGGAATTTAAGATCCAAGAAAACTGAGGCCAGACGTGAATTAACCATCAATAAAACCTCCCTACAAGAACCATTATCAAAAGATGCTTTAAAGAAGGAGAAAAAAAGTGTTTGTACAGACAACAGGCCTAAATAACTGAGGACTAACACTCAACGTTACAATAACTTTTTGGTCTTTACAAAGACTGGTGATGGCAGTTAGTAAGTTGGACAGGATTTTGGGGAGCTGGAGTAAAGGGGGGATAGTGCAAATTTAGTTCTAAAATAAATAAATACAAATAAAAACAAGATGTGATTTTTCTCCTACTTCACAATTCGATGCTTTGTGTTAGTCTAGCATCAGGCTCCAAAAAGGAGCTGCATCTCAACGACGTGTTTTGCCAGATGTAAAAAAAAAAAGCTGGAAAATATACTATTTTAATTTAAAAAGAAAAATCTGAAGAGAATGAATGTGAATGACTTCATGTTGGAAGAGTCAGTTTAGTTTAGGTGGTGAATTATGATAATAAACTAATTCAGATTTATTTTGTGAAAACGGCGGAACTTAAGACCAGTTATTGTTGAAGGTACTATCCGAAGTGGAGCTGACTCATCCAAGTTTAAAATTTATGGCCTTTTGAAGAGCCGGTCTATCTGCTGCCTTTCAGAACACTCTGGTGTGCTGATGCTTTGAATGCCTCCTCCACTTCCTGTTTACATGAACTAGCAACAGAGAGCACAGCAGGTTTCCTTTGCAGATTTCACAGCTTCACATGTCAAACTTTTTAATTTAAGACCAATATCTCCACAGAAATGTACAAACTGCATCCAGTAAACTGGTGGTAAATTTGCACTTATCTATATTAGACGCAAAAAGAAGCTGGCTAGTTAGCAAACTACTATTAGCAGCTAATTAGCAGTAGCCTCAATCGTCTGGATGGAACTCAATATTTTGCCTGACAGAAAAGTCCTGTGAGAAAAAAAAAACACACAGACATATGGAATGAACAAGATTAAATAGTTCTGTCAATTCAAAACTTAAGATACACGACATATGCTCTTAGAGCATTCAACTTACTTTTTAAAATGAATTTAAGGCGTTTAAAGGTCTTAATTTTAGACATGAATTGAAGACCTTTCATCAGACATCTTGCAACTATTCCAGACTGACGGTCTTAGAAACTATTTATTTTCTAACTACAAACATCTGGTCCAGAAAGGTTGTGTCAGGTGTACGCAGCTCTTAGCAAACATAAAACGCAGAATAACTACTGGAGGATCTAGACGTTTTGTCATTGTGGATGAAAATATGAACTGATTCTGTTTGGAGTCAAAATATCTGGGAGTCAGCGGGGGAGTCTGATATAAAGCTGAAGAGAGATTTGGACTTTCAGCATTTCTGTCCTGTAACGGTCCAGTCAAAGCTCAGAACAACATTCATAAAAAAATGTATGAGGTCACTTAGCGAGGGGTAGGGTGCAAACAAACGTCCTCACAATCTCATAGATTTAGAGAAGTCTTGCAAAGCAGGGTGAGTAAATACTCAGGTCAAGGTGTGACCTGCACATTGTACTCAACACTACTGCACACCAAGATAGCCAATACAAACAGCCTATTAAAGTGTCCAATCGCAGGTTGTTATATATAAAAAGTAACTTGTCCTGTCATAATGACAACATGCACACAGTGCTCAGCTACGTCAATGTGCTACGTATGGATGTTGTGAGATAAAACAAAGACCCGGAGCCTTTTCTCACGGTGAAGGTGTTTCTGGTTGAGTCCTCAGTAAGTAAATTCACACAGCGCACATGCTTTTGGTGGAGCTCTGAATATCCAGCAGGAATATATCCAAACAGTTTGAAAATGTCCTTCTGAAGCTTGTTTTTCTTCCATGTAAAGACCAATTCCAACAAGCTACAGCCAACAGATTTCCCCTGTTACTCTCTCTCTCACAAGAAGGCTTTTCCCATTACCAGTCTTTTCCTAGTATCATGTTGCACTTTTTTCTTTTTTTTTTATTCCGAGTGTTTTCTGTGCAGCTCAGTCCTCTTGAGACCCTGCAGTTAGAGGCGAATACTGAGTGGGACACAGTGCAAGAACAATGAGTCAAAGTTGAGCTCTTCTTCTGCCAAATGAAATGCACTTGAAACAAAGAGAGGAGTGGTCGACCACAAAACAGCTTTGAGTTTAGGGTGGATTCAGACAAAGATGATGGGTAAAAAAAAAAAACTCTTGGAAGTTGCAAAACATCCATTTGAGTGGATTAATGTAGACTAAAGATCAATCCCTTGCATCATAAGTATGTTTATTGTCCAGAACAGAAACCAAAAGGAATTTAGTCAGCAGCTTGGGGCTAAAGAAAAGGAAGGAGTTAGAAGTCATCTGTCCTGGTGGTAAAACTCTGACCGCTTTCGGCAACTAGAGAGTCAATCAGTTCCCAGAGTTCTTAGAAAAACTACAAACAGATCCAGCTGTGCAAGCAAATGTCTTAAACAGTTCATTACACTCGGGTTTGAATCTGCTCACCATTCTTCAGGACATTACAGCTGATGACACGGTGTAAAAAAAAATGACGGAGGTCACTGGATGATCTTAAAGGGGCTCAAGTAGATGACTCTGGAGAAGGCAATCTAAAGCAAGGAGGGAAGGGCGGACAAAACAACGACAGGACTAACTTAGACTAACGCGCAGCCTCTAAACTCCAAGACTGCAATTTAAAAATTCACAACTTTTCTCGACTGATGTTTATAGAGTTATTACCTAAAAGTTGAGGAATTAATTTTGACTGGAAATTGCTCTAAGGATATCATATTCTGTATCCTAATGGGGCATTTCTACCAAAGTGGTTCTGGTGCTTAAGCGGAGTTCATTTTCCCCCCACGTTTTGTGGATAATCACAGTGCAAGGAGACGGTTTAATTACACAACACATTATTTATCTCAGTATGTTCACAAACAGTTAATGAGATTTATTCTTAATTGTTATTTTTAGCAGTAAGTTGTGCTTTTGAAAGCTTCACAGCCACAGTCAAAGGATCTGTAGCACTGTTGAAGAACAGGAGTTAAAAGCACAAAATCCCCTGGCGGCATCCAAAGACAGACGCTGTTAAAGAACCGAGTCGGAAATTATGCTTGTGAATTTCAGCAAATATCTGAGTTCAGCTCTCTGTGCAGCACAGTGATCTACTTATGTCACAACATGAAGATGAGAAAGAGTGAGCTGTTGCTCTGCTTATGCTAATGTCTCCAGCTTAGCACTGGAACCAGTTTAACAGAAGAGGAGACGGATATCGGCATCACCGGCAGTAACCTGATCAGTGCATCGCTGATTTTTAAAGAATAATAATAGAAACGTACACTTTATTGTCAATTACTTTAACAGCTGGTATACAGATGGAAACGATGAGTATTTCATTACCTTTTTATTAAAAGCCTCAATATCTAAACACTAAAAAGCTACTTACAAGTTTCCTTGAGATGTTGAATCTGAACATTATACGTAATACAGATTGAAAACTGAGCAACATAAAGACCCAGGAGCGTCACGATTAGAAACAAACACTCAAGAGTGGATATGACACAGATTAGAGGTATTTTAATGATCTTCTTTCTCAACATCCTTTCATGCTGCAACATCTGAAGACAAGTACACACAGCTCAATGGGATTATCCTTCTATTAGAGTGTAAACAGATACTCACAAAAAGCCAGTTTTGAAAAAAAAAAAAATGAATAAAACAGTTATCTCTCCAGCCCCCTGATGTTGCATCCTAACCAAGCATCTGTTGACAATTACCAAAAACAACAATGCAGGAATCCAGTTACAGTTTAAACTCCACGCTGAACTCTGTCCCAGACATATAATTGCCCTCACTCGGGGCAGGGGACGCTAAATTATAGGTTTTGCCGTTGAGTCTCTCAGAGATCGTGACCTGAATGTAACAAACGGTTCCTGTTGTGAACAGAGACAGCAGAAGAAGAACTCTGACCCGAGGGTAGAACAACCTGCCTTCACAGAACAGGAACAACTGTTCAACTCAACAGCGTGAATCTGAAAACTCGGCCCCGAGCTCCGGACACCAACACAGGACAGCCTCCTCCACCCTCACCGCGTTTAGCATCGACTCTCCTCTGATTGCTGCCCGTTGGAAGAGTTGCCCACTCGGCCGAACTGTGACTAACGAACAGCGGCGGACAACGACTCGTTTTAGTCTCCTCGTTAACCTGACACGGTTTCAAACCACATTTTAAGCAGCATTTTAAGCGTCAAAGAGCAAAGAGGGGTTCAAATAAAGCGCGGAATTGCCAGTTAAACCGAGCCCGGTGTTTAACTTACCCACCAGCTAACTTGACAACCAGCTCAAACAGCCCGTCAGTCAAAACTGCAGCGCCGTGCCAGCGGCGGGCGGAACCATTATCCAACTGACTTTTAATGAGATTAAAACAAACCAACGCAGGGTTGACACTGATTCAAAACCCACGTCTACTTGTTTACATGTCCAATGTAGGCTTCGTGGAGTTTGGAGTCGTGTTTTTACGTCGATATCTTATTTTTTTAGGCTGCCGGCTTGATGGAAAGGTGACCCCCGCGGAGCCGGCGCGGATGGTTCGGTCCTTAGTCTTAGTTTTTCGAGCGTGGAGAAACAACAGCGACCTGCAAACGAAAAAGCCTTTCACCCGATGTGAAATGGCTCAGGGCGGAGTTGTGTGGGACTCTGGGCAGACCTATATTTTGGGTCCTCTTCCTGTTGTGAACATCCCCACCCTTAACAGGGTCCAGTGAACACAATCACACAAAGATTGCGCCTTTGGCATCAGGTTGAACCCTGCCACATCAACCTAATTATTAAGAGAAAAAAAGTTCTTTTAAATCAGATTTTTAAAGTCAAACTAGACCATAAAACATGGCTCAACAAACCTGCTGCGCTTAAGCAGCACATGGTGTGTTTTTTGTGAAAGTGACCCACTTTTACCACCCTAATTGATGTTGTTGAGCCCTTAACTGTGGTATTTCTAAACCAGGCAATGATTGTTTTACAATTGAGACAGGTGTCATCGGGTCAAAAGGACCCAAAGGACACTCCTAACCCATCAGTGCCTGAGGTCTGTGCTTGAAAAATGTTTACACACACAGAAAGAAGAGCACAATTATGTGAGTAAAATGGATCAATTATTTTAATTAGAATCTGAAAAGTATGGGATGAATATGTGTTCAGCCCACCAGCTTCCCATTGTACCTCACCTGGCTCAATGATTGGGGTTATTAACAGAGAGATGGGCAGATTCATTTGAACAACTTTGAATTAGTGTGGATCAAATTTGTAGACTTATTTATTTATTTTTGTTTTTAAGAAGAGGTTGCTTTTTGTATGCAAAAAAAGTACTTGACCAACATATCTTTTCCACATACAAATGAGAGGTTTCCTGACTTGTTTTGCTTCCATGTGTAAAGATATGCAAACACTTTCTTTGCCAACTCTTTACTTCCACTCAACAACTTCTCCCCTCTCTGATTCCATTTCTTTTCTCGAAGCTAAACTCTAGCATCCCTTTGTTTCTGGCCAAGCAGAGTGCGTCTTTGACAGTTTCACTAGAACGGAAACCAATCATGTGGAAACAGCAACTAAGAAATGACGTTGATACCCATTTAAGAATGTATTGACTGGAAACCTCAAATGTCTTGTGGTCTCCTGAGAGTGGGTGTAAAAAGCCTTCGTGTTTCCTCACCTCCTTCTTCCTCATCACTCAACGGCTGTAAACGGCTGCCTCCCTGAGATGTAGGATGCAGTGATGTTGAGGTATGGCCTAAAAGGCTTGTGATCTACTTTCTAATTAGCCAGAGTGGAAACTATTCACTGCAAGACAGAGCTGGAACTCATGCTAAAAAAATTCAGCTTAAGATAATTGCTACTAACTTTTGGTTGAATTTAAACCACACATCACAGTCAGTCATGAGTCAATATGTTATCATACATCAAGGTTTAATCTCATTACTTCCCTAAACCTGTTTGTGCATTTCTTCTTGTCAAGTGAACTCAACAGTCTGCATCCTGTCACGTGACTTCCTGCGATCTGTCAAACTTCAGCCTCAGTTTGGACCAATTTTTACACCTGCTCCACCTTGAGAAAAGGAAGCAGACCCAGAAGCGTGAGACAGAGCCGGTCAGCTGTTCACTTCTGCATGGCGTCGGCTGCGAGGCGTGAAGCGGGGTATTTTGATGCAGGACTCGGAAGTGACTTTTCACTTTTTTGAAACTTTGAGTTGCAGCTCAAGCAGAGAAGTCGACGGTATGTGTTGCTCATGAAGACGGACAGCTTGGTTTGCCATTAAAGAGGAAGTGCGGGGGAGAAAATGGAGGCCCAGAAAACGGTGAACTTCATGAGACTCTTGTCAGGTAATAAAAACATAGATTTTTCAACTTGGGGTGCGTGACAAATGAGATGAGAGAGCTCGTATTCTCTGCAAATGTGCGTAAGGCGATCAGAATTATTCACTCACAGGAGGCCTGTGTTTTGCACTGTTCCATGAAACAAAAGTTTATGTGCTTGGTTCTCTGTTGAGCTGGTTAGTCTGTATTTAGTTATTTTCAAAACTAGACTTTTAAGTCACACCCTAAAGTCACCTCTTCTCCTTTTGATCAGAATGAGGCTGAAGATGATGGAGATGTGCTGGACTTTGACTCGGCTCCTTTCTCTTTACTTGTTCAGATGTAGATTTGCTGCTGAGCCTCTGATTATTGTTCCATTTAATCTGGATTCAGATATTTCTTTGCTTACACTTATCAAATCAGGAAATTACACCAAAGCTTGTAAATTTTCAAAGGACTCAGGACTAATTCAATTTTGGATTTTGGCAGGACTCTATATTGTTAAAATGCTTTAATCTGTCCCAGAAGATAACATTTTGCTACATGGTGACCGATTTTTTATAAATTTCCCTAAATTGTGCGGAAACGGATTTCCATTTTGCATAAATTCAACATGCGTTGTGCTGATTTACCTTTTGCTGTCCTACCAGATGAAAGCATCGAGTCCACCCTGTCGTCAGACTCATGTGAGTACTACCAGACAGAGATATTTGACCTGCTGCCCAGTGTCCAGGCTGTCCGGTCCCAGCAGGACAGCTATGGCACGCTGAAAACCAGCGAGGTCTACCAGGGTGGCCCGCGACCCGAGGAGGCCTTCGGCACAGAGAACCAGTCAAGAGGACCCAGAGACAAGCTGTCTCTGCAGCCGCTGCGAAACCTGCCCATTTGTATGCAGGGGAAGAGGAGCGCAAGGTGGGAACATTTTGTGAACATATAATTTTTTATTCTAAACTTGTTTAAAACCTATAGAGCTGTAAAGGCCTGTTTTCTGAAAGTGGATCTTCTGCAGTAAATGCAAAGTAAATTTGGGGGTCACAACTTGCACTTGATTCAAATATTATTAGTTGTTGGTGCTAAAAAAAAAAGGTTCTCCAAAGTAGAACAAACTTACTGTTTTTTTTAGCAAAATATACATCTTTTGTTTTTTAGTTCAACTATTTTCTAAACAAACTTTGGTGAGAATCTTGAAGCTGAAGTTCTGGATGTTTTCATGCTGTTGAGTGGATTTCAGGCAGCAACAGTTCAGGACGTCCAGGATTTTGTAACTGTGGTCAGAGAACGAAGTGATTCAGTCGTTTACCAAAGTAAAGATTAGCAATCATTCGGCACGGGAGCAGAGTGTCTCCACAAAACTGAAACTCATATGTAAATGCTCATATGCTAAGTGAATAATTTGCAGACAATGAAAAAATAAACTAATTATAATGCAGATAAGCATTTCTTTTCAATAAAACTTCAAATAATTGCAAAAGCTATGAAGCAATATCCCAAATACTTTCCATGTGTGACAGATTTGAATTGCAGGGATTGTGATAAAATAAGTTGGACCTTCACTTTAATACAAATTAACCAAATGCTGACATTCCCTAAATAAAAGATATATCAGACTCATGTGAGTACTGATGTACTTTTCTGTTTTAGATCCTGGTTTACCAAAAATGTTAGTATTTGCAAAATGTTAATAGTTTCAGAGCGTCGCTCCAACATTCTTCAAATTCTGCTGTTTGCAGACATTTATAATCATATTTAATATAACCATAAACTGCTTGAGCTTCCTGAAAAGGTCAGGCTCAGCTTAAAGGTTTAGGTGAGAAGTTCTGTCATCCAGGAGGAGCTCAGAGTTAATTTAATTTACTTAAACTAAAAGGTTTTAATCTCAGTGAGATTCAGAATAATGTTACACATACTTAAGTTTAACTTTGTGTCCTTTAACGTTTGGATGTATGGCATGTTAAGTATGTAAAAATATACATTTGCTGTCAATTAGGGAAAGGAGGAAAATGCAGATCAGCGACATTGGTTTCTGGGAGTCATGGAGGCGGAGCCAGAGCATCAACAGGAAGAGGATCTGGGCTCACATGAGGGAGGCGGGAGCCAGTTTCTTGCCTTGGAAACACACACTCCACATTATTCAAGGTAACACTGAACAGAGACTTTGAAGACCTTCGTTTCTTTTACGCACCTTTTTGATCCTGTTGTTTTTTGGGTTTTTTTTGTTGATTTTCAGGGAGGTGTGGCATCGGAGTGAAGTCCTACTTTGTGTTCCTCAGATATCTGATCTACTTGAACCTGCTGCACTGTGCTCTGATCGGGGGCTTCATCCTGGGGCCCACAGGGTTTTATGGCACAAACAGCAGAGGTATAGTTATATTTAACCCACCTCTGGAATAAAGTATAAAGCAGAAATGCAGTTGAGACATATGTGAAGTTAAATCTCTGTTATTTCACAGAATGGTTGCGATTTGGCGGAAACGACTCTGTGTTAGACTTCCTCCTGGGATCGGTAGGAGTTATTATTCTGTGCATGGATACTAATTCATGAAAAAAAAACATAAACATATTTTAATTTGAAACAAAAGATACCTGCGATATACCACACACGAGCACGTCTTCTGCTTCTGTTAAACCAGGGATTTCTGGCTCGTTCGCCTGTTTTCTTTGGCTTTTACACCAGAGGCTCTCTGGATCTCGACTGCCTGAACACACCCCTGCTTTACCTGGCTGGGATCCTCAGCATCATCTTCCTTAGTCTCATCATGGTGGTCCGCAGGTTAGTAAACCACAGCCATGCTGCAGGAACATCAATCATCTTCCGTTTATGTGGGATGTCAAAAATGTGCCTGTTAAAATGCCAGACTTAGAAAATGAAACCTCAAAGGTTCATTTTAAAACATTTGCCTCTTTTAGCTGGACTGTAAAACACAGCTGAAAGGCAAATGTTGACAGGACACAATCTATGCGACTTGATCAAAACAGTCTCTTTGTCTAGAGGTGTCTGTCACGGGGAAGATGCTCATTTTTTTTAACCTACCTTATGTAGCTTTCACTCCACA